CTAGTTAGCTATGAAATTTGAGAACTTAATTTTGTTGGCTGTTTTTCTTTCTGGACTTGTGGCACTCACAGACTTCCAGTGGCTATTTCAGATAAAAATGTTTGAAATTTCTAGCATCCTCAAAGAGAAAACTGATAATGAATGAATAAAATAAAGGGATAAAAAAGTAAATATAGACCACTAGGTCTCAGAACTGTGCCTGAGTGCTTCATCATAGCTTCAAAAGGAGTCTCACTAAAGTGTGAGGCTGACACACTTGACTGTCATAGTGGCATTTCATTTGTATTTTAATAAATAAGGCTTGCCTGAAGATCAGAAAAGTAAAACAGCCCCACTGGCCAGTCTTGCAGACGAGGCAACAATAACAGACACTTTTAATCCCAGTACCCATACTAGTTTTCATAGAAACCAGGCGGTAGTGGTGCACACCCTTAATCCCAGCACTAGAAAAGATTATAAAATGGGAGGAGATAGCGCTCAGTCTCAGTCTTATTCTGAGATTCCTGGAACCAGGATCACCATTTAGGACTGAGACAGAGTTAAGAGGCAGTGGCTGGCTGTTTTGCTTTTCTGGTCTTCAGGTTGAACCCCAATTTCTGAGTTTTGTTTTTCTGTTTTGTTTTGTTTTGTTTTTCAAGACAGGGTTTCTCTGTGTACCTTTGTGTGTCCTGGAATGCACTCCATAGAGCAGGTAGGCCTTGAACTCAAAGAGATCCACTTCGCTCTGCCTCCCAAGTACTAGGATTAAGGGCACACACCACCACACCTGCCTCTGAGTTTATATTCATCATGCTTAAAGACTATTAAAGACTATCTAGCCCACATTGAGTTGTTATCTACAAGGATATTGAAAAAAACAAATCAACAAGCCAGGCACAGAAGTGTAAGCCTTTAATCCTAGTGCTCAAGGCTAGCCTGGTCAGCCAGGACCAAGTAGTAACTCCCTGTCTTAAAAATAAATAAATATTCTGTCTGTGTGTATGCCTGATGGCCAGAAGAGGGCACAAGACCCCATTACAGATGGTTGTTGAGCCACCATGTGGTTGCTGGGAATTGAACTCAGAACCTTTGGAAGAGCAGGCAATGCTCATCTGTAATGGGGTCTGGAGCCCTCTTCTGGCCATCAGGCATACACACAGACAGAATATTGTATACATAATAAATAAATACTTAAAAATAAATAAATAAAATTAAAAGCTAAAATCAAAGTAAGAACAAAAATGTAGCGAGTACTTGGCTTCCATTAGTTCATATCCATATTTACTGACTCAGACAGTTTAGTGGTATAATGAGGATAGGAATATCAAGTATCCATCCAACCCCATACAACTCCCCATCCAACCCCAGTGCTCCAACAGTGAAGAAGGGCTGACTGGTAGTGATACTCTCCACTGTCTGATCTGAGCCACCTCTGCTTGTCTTTTCAGTTTAGTGATTCAGAATCACCAAGAACTCTCCAGTGGGCTGTTAGAAATTCAGGCAAGAAGTCTAGACTCTCAACAGTCTGATTTAAAATCTTGAGCCTAAGCTAAAATGAATATGGATGGGCTGATATTTTCTCTATAGAACATATTTCACACAGAGTTTCATTTGGAAAGCAAGGCTTTGTCATGACATGGTCTTACTTTCAACCAATACATGAAACTTAAGTTGAGAAAAGAAGCACATATTTTCAACATTTAAGAGAACAGTCATCTAGTTTTCTAAAGGTTCTTGGAATAGCTGGCAATAACTGGAGGGTTATTAGACACATCACAAGTTCTCAGTATTCTGAACACTAATTCACTTGTGCCTTAATAACTGAAACATTTATAACAGTCAAATGCTCATTCTATTTATTTTTACACATTGAATCATCACCCTTTTATTCCTTAAGTTACAATTCTGTGTGTGTACACCTATGCAGAGGTCAGACGACAATTGCCAGGAGTCAGTTCTCTCCTTCTGCCATCTGTGCTTCCTGGGATTGAATTCAGCTTTTCAGGTTGCACACTGAGCCATTACTTTGCCCTTTCATTATCTTTTATAGATAAAATATGGTTTATTTACAAAATAAAGATTTGAAGTTGTTTTAGTTCAACTTACTTCCCTTTAGAAGTAGTGCCAGCAGATATTCAAACCAAGGAATAAACGATGGAACTGTAATTATAAGGGATATTAAGATAGCTGTAGCTTCTTGTTTTATGGAGAAATACTATTAAGTTTTTTCTCCCTTTCAGCAAGTCTGAGTCACATGTTACTATATATGACTATATATAGTTAACTGTGGGAATTTTTGCACATATAGTCATATATTTTGCAAGTAAGATGCTTCTATAGATGTTAATGGAGGTCAAATAATATATATGCATATGCATACATTTAAGAAAACTACAGCAAAATCTATTCTGCAAGAATAAAATGCCCATCAAAAGAGAAAAGGCTTCTGAGAACTATACACTGAAAGTTCAACAACAAAAATGAAGTCACAGTACCAGCAAGAAAAGCACCTTTTCCGAGTCTCTCAGAAAAATGCAAATAACAGAATTTTAAAGTGAGGTTAGCGCAAGGACACATGCTGAAGTTAATTCCTTACCAACAAGGTCTTAGTTGGGATTTAACAGACTCAATTCAAATTCTAGTAATTTTAAATAGGAATTAGACGATAACCTTTGCACCATTTAAAACCCTTTAGGTTAGTTAAACTGAGAGCACTGTGCCCAGCACACAATAAGGTTAGGTTCACCTTTAAAATGGCCATCATTTTTACACCCTACTGCAACTGCCCAGGGAAAGATGACATTGCAGTAGTCACCAGCATTAAACAAAGGCACATAGAGACATTTTTCCATCGGAGATGACAGCGGGAAGCATTGCAAAAATGTAATGATGTTTGCGGCTCAGTATAAATAAAACTAGTTTGTTCACCTAAGAGATTTTCATACTTATTTTTTCAACAAATATTTATTGAGAAAGTGTTGAAAGTTCTTCACTAACCTAGACAGACCATTTATTTAAAGCCAAGAGTCATAGTTTAAAGCTAAGGGGCATGTTGGAAAAGGAAGAATAGAAACATCTCAGATAGTAATAAAACTTAAATCATAAACTAAACTCAAAGGAGTTTAAAGAATTACATGCTGGGGAAATTCCATATGCACAAACATTAAACCCTAAAATTCCAGTACCCAATCACCATAGCAGAGGAAATGTCCCTGACTGCATGTGAGCCCACGTTGTCTTCAGAATAATCCCTATTAAAACGGCCTATTCTCGGGATCACCTCACATAAATCATTATTTGGAGCTCTGTCTTATTGTTCCTTCTGTATATAGTCTTCTGTCAAACATTTTCTTTAATAATGATTCTAAGACTATAATTCCAGTGATGTTTATAGTTTAAGATGTTTTGAATTCAAAATGTTTTAATTAGAAATGATTGGCTGGCAGTGTTAAGTGATTAATGGCATTATCTTAAAAACATGACTCAATGGAAACTAATTCTGGCAAATACCCAATATTAAAAAAACTAATTTACAAAAACATTCACATTTTGATGAATGAATATGTTTTGTGACTGTGAGATGAATGGGGAGATGAATCGCTGAAAAATGTCAAACTCAATTATGATTTCAGCATTAAACCAACAGTTGGATTTCTTACAAGTCCAACAAGAACTACATATAGCAGTGTATTTACATATCATGCCTGCTAATCGCCTAAACTTCAAATACATTACACTGTAATGTAGAAAGTAAGCAAAGTTATTTTATTTAAGGTTACTATCAAATATTCTACTATTGCGAGTGCAGTGAAAGAATAATGCAAACATTTTTGTCTTTTATTTATTTATATATTTTATTGCTCTTTTTTATTGATTTTTATTATAAAAAATTTATGTAAATATTTTATAAAAATGGGAAATTTAGAAAAAACATCCTGGAACAATAAATTTATAATTATCTGGTGTGGGAGAATTGTCTGTATTCTGTCAATCACATTTTAAATAAATGCTGATTGGCCAAGCAGGAAGTATAGGTGGGTCAACCAGATAGGAAGTAGAGGTGGGGCAATGAGAACAGGAGAATGCTAGGAAGCAGGAAGCCCATTCCTCCCATTCCTGCCCAGACTAACAAGAAGCAAAATGTTATCTACCCGGCTGAGAAAGGTACCAAGCCATGAGGCTAACATAGATAAGAACAATGGGTTAATATAAGCTACAAGAGCTAATAAGTAGCCTGAGCTAACAGGCCAATCAGTTTTATAACTTATGGAGCTCTCTGTGTGATTTTCTTTGGGACTTGCTGGCTGTGGGGTACCGGGTGGGACAGAAACCCCAACAAGCCGGCCCTCAAATTACAGAATGGTGGGCCCCTCATGCTACAATTATCAACCTTTTGAAACAAAATAAACTGAGCATTTATTGATCAAATACGATACAGCAATAATCTGGCTAACTTAAAGCTTTGGATCCTTCTCTCCTCTAGCGGGACGGAATTTAGGCTTTAAGCAACTTAATTCCCTGCTCACTTTCCTCACTTCAAAAGTGAAAACAATGATATCTACCACTCAGAGCAGATTTGGTGATAAGGGGCTAGATAAGCATCTGATAATTGTGTTAGTGTGGGGGAGAATGACCTGCATTGGCTCTCATATTCAATGATTAGTCCCCAGTTGGTAGAACTGTTTGGGAAGGATTGGGGGTGTGGCCTTGTTGATAGACATTTGTCACTGTTCATTTCCAGTTAGCTTTCTCTGTTTCTTGCTTATGGATAAACATGAAAGCTCTCAGCTAGTGCCCCAGTACCATGCCTGTCTGCCTGCTGCCATGTTCCCTGCCATGATAGTCATGGCCTCTAACCCTTTGGGACTGTGAACTCCAAATTAAAATTGCTTTCTTTTATAAATTGTCTTGGTTAAGGTGTCTTATCCCAGCAATTGAAGAATGCCTAAGAAAATGATGAAGTGCTCCAAATTAGTGATTAACTTTTAACAACTATTCCCCTTAGACATGAGCATACTTACTTTGAGAAAGACTTGTAGATCTTGAGTCTGGGTATGTTGAAGAATGTCTCGCTGCAGATGCTTGAGAACAGCGATGCAGACATACACTTGATAATCAGGACCAAGAACAACACAAGTAGCAATATAATGGCATATTTCAATCCAATCTAAGTAATTCCAAAAACACTGAGTTATCCACTGCAGGCAAATCTTAAAGAAAAAAAAAGGGGGGGGGTTATTTAAGAGGAATAAAAAGCATCACTTACCAATTAAAAAGTAGTAACCAGTAACGCAAGACACCAATAAAAAGCCTTGCGTTTAATCAAAATAGAGACACATTCTACTAGTGGTCTTAAAAACCTGCTTGTTTGCTGCATGGGTAAAAAGATTTGTGGACTCCTGGTTCGGGAGCTGAGAACCTAATGATGTCTGAACTGCTCATGCTCATACTGCTACATGGCTTCTTCTGACATACTGTCCTCCTCTTTCCCAAACGCCAGTCACTCTCTGCTAACAAGTGCTAAGAGGCTACCTGAGTTCAGAGATGTTCGTTGTTTCCCCATGCCACCTGTAATCACAGGTGTATAATTATGCAGATGACGGGCTGTGAAATCTTATATGCAAATGGACTCTTGCTGAATCAGAGAACAATTTAAAACTAATAGAACCAAAGAGCATATGAACTGGGAGCTAACACAGAGAATAATTCAAAAATGAGACTTTTACAAAAAGGCTTCTTTTCAACTCTTTAATCGGTATATTATTGTTATGTATTAACTACCCCAATCTCTCCTCAAAAAAAAAAAAAAGTCAGCAAAGGCACCACCTCAGAACCTGACCTTACTTGGGGGTAAGGTCATCATGAAAGTAGTCAACTTCAAATGAATGTCAGAGTGAGTTCTGACCCAGTGTGCCATGTATTCTTTTGGAAGAGGAATGTGCACAAAAAGATAGACATGTCCCAAGGGAAGACACACAGAGAGAACAGCATGGTTGAGCATAAGGCAGGATCTGAGAGATTCCGGTTCAAGGCCCTGGGCTCCTCCAATGACTATGGTTAAGAGAGGAGAAGGAAGCAGAAATGGTGACTATCTCAACTTGACATAAGCATTAAGAATACAGATAGATGTGTTCTTTTTGTTCTATCACTTTGTCCATTAAAAACTTCAGTATTAAATCTAAAGGGTGCTTTTCTTCTTCTTATTTAGCATGCTGATATGCTTTCCTATGGCTAACATTTATTAATTTGTCTGCTAGGCCTTCCATAACAAAGAAGCAGACACTAAGCAGTGAAAACAAGTAATCTTATTCAAGGAAAGTCTAGGTCACAGTGGTACTGGGACTGGTTTCTTTGGAGCCTTCTTTCTCTTCCTGTTTTTTAAACAGACGATGCTCTTTTCCCAGTCACACATGTGACCACCCTGTGTAGATGTCTCATCCAAATCTCTTCTTACTAGGGTCCACTCTGATAACATATTTTAGGGTGGCTATTTCTCAGACACTGTATGTGTAACACAGGCATACTGTGAGGTAAAGAAGGTTCTAACATCATCATGTGGTTACTGAGGAAACACAAGTCATCCATACCAGACTGAATCACTGAATTTTTGCTTCCTATATATTATTAATTATGTCAACTTCTGACCTTTGAATTCCAGTCATTAAGATCACATTTTCAAAAATCTCATCCTCTGATCACAGTGCCTTTTTAAGTAATGCTAACCAGAAGGCAAATGAAATTTTAAGTTTTTAATTACATTATTAGGTATCTGTATGTTTAAATATCATTCAGGACCATAAAGAAGCAACATCACTCATTCAATGTGCAAACTTACTACAGTTTTCCTAAAACAATTGATATTTAACCACACTTAAGCTTATGCCAAATGGCATTAACATGCAGTACAATATTATTTTATATGAAGTAAATTATTTCTACTGGTATCTAAATTACATGAAAAATAAAGGAATCAAAAACATTCAAGTCAAAATAATTGATTGCATATATCTATGGAACTAAAACTAAGAATGATTTCTAAATGATCGACTATTTTATTCGAAGACACTATTTTAGCAACTCTTCTGGCCTTGCAGTATTTGTTTTCACTCCACACACACACACAGAGAGAGAAAAGAGAAAAAATAGCTGAAGAATCAAAGTGGTTTTAAAGCCAGGCATAGTAACATGAAGATAAAATCTTGGCATTTGGCAGGTTGAGGCAGGAGGATTGCTTTAGACCCTGTCTGAAGTGTTTCTGAGTGATTCAATACAGTGAAGGCATTCACTCCATCACTCCTGAATTTCTCTAACTGCTAGAGAGATGAAAGCTCCAAACACATCCTCAAGCACAAACATTGATTACAAATACTATATTTTTGTTACACCTCTGGAAGATCTGATTTCAGTGTATAATTTTACAGCTTCAGAAAGTACTGGGTCATAACACATGAAAGAGCTTTCTGGAGTCTTGGTTTCATAACAAAAGTAAAGGAACAGATGATGATGATGATAACTGCCAAATGGAGTGGCGTGCACTCTACACAGGAGGGTCAGTAAAGTTAGCCTGCTCCCTGTCACAGTGCTTTGTAATAATCAGTGCCATGCAGGATGGTGCCCCCAAGGAATAGAGATGCACCATTAAAGACACATGGTGTCTTATAAGAAATGAATGGGCAGAAAATACAGTAAGATAAATTTTCTAGCAAAGGATAAAGCTGTTGGAAAGTTAATTGGAATGTGATTTTACACTGCTTACTTAAAACAAGAATGTAAATTCCATTTCTGTTTCCTTTCCCGCTGCAGTTACTCTTAGAAGAAACTCCAATCAGCAAATGCGCTTTCCTAACCACATTTAGTTCGGTGTGCTCAAGTTGAGCCTATTATTTTCACTCTAGAGATCTGTATATTTCATTTAGCAACCTTCCCACAAGTCCTTCACTAACAAGCCAACCCTCTTGTGCTGAAAAATACACAGCTTCAAAAAGCACTGCTAATTAGATCAAAATGAGTAAGCTTTGAAACACAAAATCTATACCCTAATAATGACTTAATCATGTATACCTATTTAGTTACTTATACCTGTTTTTATATTTTATTATTAGCAATAAAGCGGTAAATAATCAGCAAGCAGTGATAGGCACTTAAGACAAGTGATTAGCTCACACCCAAGAGCTGCTGAGAGGCTTTCTACATTATTAAAAAGCATAATGTCACTGTTCAAAAACAATACCTTATTAAATAAGTGCACTGGTCATATACAGGCTTCTTTTATAGTTCTGTTTTGATTACTTGTTTATTTCTGATACAGGGCCTCACACTTAACCCAGACTGGCCTAGAACTTATTATGTATCCCACAGGCTGGTTTCAAACTCATGGCAATCCTGCTGCCTCACACTCTCAAAGGGTGTTAGGGTGGTATGCAGTTTATACTGATGAAGGTGTATCAGACTTACGCGATATATAGAACTGACAAATGAAGGTTTCTTTTAAAGATTAAATTAATATTGCAGGTCCTGAGACATTAATGCTCCCATGATCTTTGGTTATTCACTTCTAAATTAAAGAATATATTAGGGACTAAACACGATCAGAAGCATTAAATGGTATACACTCTATCAGTCAACATTAGGACAGCAAATAGAAACTCTCAGGAACAGTGCTCTCAGCACAGACTTTTAGAAGATATGAAAGAATCAATTGTTATAAATTATAATAAATATACTGTGTTTTTTATTTATTATTTTTTAGTTTTTCGAGACAGGGTTTCTCTGTAGCTTTGGAGCCTGTCCTGGCACTAGCTCTGTAGACCAGGCTGGCCTCTAACTCACAGAGATCCGCCTGCCTCTGCCTCCCGAGTGCTGGGATTAAAGGCGTGCACCACTACCGCCTGGCTCTATACTGTGCTTTTTAAACAACTTCCTCCAATATAGATAAAATTCTGGGATTCGGTGTTAAAGCAGATGTTTCATACACTAAAGGCTAAACGGAAGTTTCATGCTATGCTTAAATTTGCTAATAACTTCATAAGCAGCAAGCAGAATGCCTCACATAGGTACATGTGATAATGGTGCGGTCTTTCATCAGGGTAGGCAGAGAAGCACATATCATGCCAAGAAGTGCTTCTGTCTAATTAAGAGGGAGCTCTCTCGAGTAAGATAAATGCAAAGGGACGAAAGCGCAGTTTACAATGAATCCAATAAGCCATCGATTAAGCTATTGCTTACTGTAAAGAATGCTGGCATAGTTTTACTTGTTTAACTTCAAATTTGATTAAAAGAAAATGAAATGAACAAAAAAGTTTTTCCAAAAGTGATAATGGTTACTTTTTGGCAATATGTAGTTATTATCTACTGAGAAAATGGCTAATTTTTTACCAGTTTGACTATAAAATAATTCATAAAATATTTTTAAAAATATAATACAAATAATATTAAGTATAAAACAACTGCAATTTAGACTTATTTTTGACTAACTGGATAATTTAATAAAACAAAAAATAGCATATTAATTAAAAATAGTAGAAAAGAAAATTAATGTATGTAAATAAATATAATCTAATTATATTACTTATATATTACATTTAATATTTAAGTATATTATACATATATATTATATCATATTTTAGGGCAAAGAATTTTCTTTATAAAGTTGGATATCTGGGCATTGAAGAACTATAACTCTACAGCAGATTACCTGTGATGGAGCAAAGCCAGACATGTGGAAAGCTGAAAACACAAGTGGCACCTCAGCCTTCAGTAGCATTTCAATGTAGTGAGTGCTGCAAAAATATATGGGATGGATGCCAGTTTCGATGGTGTCAACGGGAAGGTACCTCTGCATCAAAGAGAAGTGGAAAACAGTAAATACATGGATGGTTTATAACAATCAAGCATGTACTTAGCTGAGTCTTTCTGCTTAAGCCATGGTTTGCTCCTTTCAAATTTATATGTTAGCTATAGATCAGTTGATAGCCTGCATGCCTCAAATGCACAAAGCCCTGAGTTTGATACCCAGCACAACATAAGCCAGGTATGCTAGGTGCAAACCTGTGAACCACAAGTATCAGAAGTTCAAGGTCATCCAAAGATAAACAGTTTGAAGTCAATCAAGGATTCTTGAGACCCTGCTTCAATAAAATAAATTAAAATTTGAGAACAAAATTGATATGGTTGTGTCTTACACTACAACAACTATAAATATGCAAATGTCAGAAAGTTAAACACCATAGAGCAATAAACCTCAATAAAGGTAAGGTTATATATTTTTCCAAAACAGAGGAGTAGGGTAGTTTGTAATTCAGGAAACTGAAAAGCCTGTGGATGAGAAGGGTTGAAAAAAATGAATAACAAACATGTGAGTAATGAATTTTACATATCAACCAAGGTAATATTAAGCATACATATTTAATAGTGCCGGTCTCTGCCAAAGAGCACATGTTAAAAAGCTCTAGTCAGCTCTTAGGAATGTTTGCCTAGTTCCATTTCATTTGTTGATTTTATCTCATATCTGGACTTGAGTTAATTAGAACACAAACTGAGAATGCCATGCTAAACTCACTTCTAATGGGGGAAATGTATAATGTTTACTCAAAAGTTTTCCATCACCCATTTTAATGAAATTATACATACACATATATACATACATATATACGCACATACTAAATCATGTATGATAATTTGCATACATATAGTGGACATGATAAAAATATAGCTCTGAAGGTTGGGAATATCCCGTAATGCAGTGCTCTGACCTAATAGACATGAGGAGCAAAGTTTAATTCTTGGTTTTGATTAAAAAAATAGTTCTTAGGTGAAATTTATGATTATTAATGATTGATAATATTTTACTTGTTATGACTATAAATTCAATATCAACACAAAATCACCACTTATAAGAAAAGACAAAAAACTCAAAGATGTAATTGTGTCAAGAAAACTATTTTAATAGCAATTAGATCATGCAAAGTTGACACCTAGCCCTGAGACTACATAATTAAGAGCTAGCCAAAAGTAATTTTATGTCTTAACTTTACCTTATATTTTAACTCTTTTCCCCAAAAATCTTATCTAAGTTTTTAAAAAATAAAACTTCTTGCTTTTAGATAAAACTAATAAAACTCATAAAATTACATAAGGGTTAAATATGTGGATACAATTTTGGGCTTGTCGCTCTGGTACAGGCATTTAGTTAGGTTTAGGTAATGACGTTTCTGAACTCACAAGGCAGCTTTAACAGTGATTTTTCCCTTTTTGCCACTCATCACAAATGATTTATTATTTTTTCAAATTACAGAAATTTATAGTTGCAGGAATAAATCAGTGTAAATTCTGTGTGCTTTCTGGCAGGTTCTCTAAGAGATATTGCACACGAAAATGCTTAAATATTGATGAAGACATAGCACATTAAGTGGACATTATAGGTGGCTTTTATATAGAGAACAGGAGAATACTTTCCATTAGGTAATTCAATAGAATGCAGAGTATGAATTAATAGTCATTGATTTACCGCTTGTCAAACACAAAATGTGACTCATTATTTATATAATGAGTAAGTCTAACAAACATAAAAAGGAAATGTTAACTTACACGTTTATATGCTCAATGTAAACTTACTAACGGTCTAGAATATTCTGGACCTAATTTTCATACAGCATTGTTCTATGCTGTGGCAGAAATACCTTTAGAACAAGTTTATGAAGAGATAAAGACAGTAGACATTAATTACGCTGTCAAAGGAAACAAGCCATTATCCTGTAATAGGGTCCCAAAGACAAGACAAGAGTTCTTCTATTCTCATAAATCATACACTGGCAGGAGAGCCTTAAGTCACACTTTTGATAACCAATCAGCTCCGGATACCAAATTTGCCATATGTAATACTGACTCAATAACAAGATTCTAACGACTGCACTTGTTATCACAGTGAATTCACTTATAATTAACATCTTGCTTGTCTGTTATTTGCATATCATCACTCTAATCTATAGTAGATGATATTCATAAAGCCAGAACAATAACAACAGATGGTTCATATGAAAACAAAAAAGGTCCTGTGAGCCATCAAACTACAATTTATACTTTCATAATTTGTATATTTTGCTCAACTGTGACACCCCAAAATAATAGCAACACTTTCAAGTTCAGAGAATGCAAAGACTAATGGCATTCAAGGTCATATAAGTATAAAAACCAGGCAGATTTAAACAAAATCAGTAAACCAGTGGCTTATAAGATACTAATATATGATAAGATGTGAAACAAAGATCTTATAAAATAACTTTAGAATATTATATGCCCATGGTTTAAAGATATACACTTAAAAATGGGGCAGAATAGTCTTAGTTTTTGACTTTCATATTAAGTAGTTCTGGTGAATCATTTTGTTCCTCAAACTATAAAAAACTGAGTTCTGTGTTGCAGCACAAAGTAAAGATAAAGACTGTATTAAAAAGATTTGAAACTTTCCAATCCAACACAAACTGATCCAATGTAGTTCATACTCCTTATCTGAGTCTCTACAGGCAGAGGATCGGCCAAGCTTCACAGCAATACTGTTTGTTAATTTGCACAAAATGGAAAGGAATACAGAGAAAATTTAAGGATTTCTCAAAATTTTGAAATTATGATACCATAAAACAAATTCTTCTCCTTTCAGGAGAACAGGAAATGGAATCTTCAAATGTTTAGAATATTGAGATTCAGATATAAGAAAATGTGTTTTGTATGGCTCATTTTTCCAGTTGGCCCACAAAAGGGTTATGGGTACATTTTCACAATATGCCTGTTATTGTAGATGCGTTTAAATCCCATTTAACACTGCAAATTTTTTTCAACACTAAGTATTTAACAGGAACAAATGAAGCCCATGTCCAGTTATACTATACAGCAGCTGCGCACCACCCTCCTGCTGGACTGTACCACTTCATCTGAGTAGAGTTATACTAGACAGCCAGTATACATCACCCTCCTGCTGGACTGTACCAGTCATCTGAGTACTGCTTTAGGTTGGTTTAACATCAGTGGAGTTCTGTTTGTAAATACATATAAGTTAATATTTCTTATTTCAATTGATGTGTTTTATAACTTTTACCAAGAGGCAGCAAACATAACATTTAGCTTGATTTCCTAAGAAATTCCCTAAGAATTATTGTAGTATGATTTAACTTTTTTATAATACCTGAAGATTAAAAAAATTCTTCTAGTCTAAAAAATGTTTAAATTACTCTAAACTAATAACTAGTATAGCTAGTTATAAAATTAGTTATAAAATATTTTTAAAACTAGTTATAAAAATAGTATAGCTAGTTTATAAAATTGTGAGACCTTGTTACTGTTTTCATTAACAGTTATTGCTTGTTTTGCTTATGTTAGGTTTATTTATAAAAACTTTTTTGATCTAATTTGCTTATATCAATTCCTTTTTTCATGGGGATTGAAATAGGAATCCTCTGTGTAGCTCTGGCTGTTCTGGAACTTGCTTTGTGGACCAGGCTGGCCTCGAACTCACAGAGATCCATCTGCCCCTGTCTTCCAAGTGCTGGGATTAAAGGCCTGTATCACCAAATCTGGCTATAACATTCTTAAGAAGGCTGGGAATCAAACACTTTTTTTTTTTTAGTAATTTCTTTCTAGAGTAATACATACTCCAATTTAAATATTTAAATATTAAGTTTAAATATTAATTCACATACAACATGTTTATGGAGTAAAGAAGCTATAGTTTATGTACAAAGGGGGTTGTATTAGTGAATAAAATAGAAACATTTTCCAGAACTAATAACAAAGAATCTAGATAAGGGATCAATATGAAGCAAATAACGCATTAACAGATGATGGACATTATGGGAAAAAGTAAAAACTAGAACGGAGCAATGAGAACAAAGGTGACATTGACTGAACAGGTTGCCAATTTTTTAGATTATGATTTTTATTAAATATTTTTGACAGTGTTATGTATACTGTGCATGTGTCCCTCTCACTTTAAATCTTATATATAGCCTTTCCTATCTCCGCTCATAGCCATCAGTCCTATTTCCCTTCAAGTCCCTTTCCTATATTCATATCCCTGTTTTGGTTTGTGAACAACTGAATTTAACCAGGGTCGTCTGTGTGACCATGAGTTTGGAACCCATGGACTAATCAATGGGTAAGCAAGTGAAGATTATGATTGCCCCTTCCTTAGAATCAACTCATAGCCGATAGTTGAGCTGGGAGAATTAAGGTTCCAGAAACTACCCCCTGATCCATGGCTGACTGATGATCAGTCCATTCTTGCGAAAGCCCAGTAAAAACAGCTCCAGCGGCTGTGAGATCCTGACACCAATGATCTAATGACTGTATCATGGACAGAATATTGCATGCCCTTCTCTCTGTCTCCTGGCCCTTCACTCTTTCTACCCACTGCTATGAACTTTCCAGAGCCTTAGAGGGAAGTAGTATTAATGTCCTGCTTAGGGTTAACCACTCAGCCATCACTTATTCTCTGCATGATAAGCAGAGAGTTTCTTCACTAACCACCATTTATTGAAAACAGAGGTTTCTCTGGTTAGATTAAAAGGAACATTTTATGGTATTAACATATATATTTAGAAAGCCATTTTATACCATGTCAACTTAGCTAAGAAGTGGTTATAAAGTCCCTTGTTAGAGCCCAAGATCTCCTAATAACCATGAAGTTTTGATCAAGTTACAGTACTAGATGGGAATTCTTTCCTGTGGCACAGGTCTGGAATCCTATCATAGAGCAGCTGATTACTTCAAGAAGAATTGTGACATCTTTGTACCGCCGGGCACATGTTGCCAGGCAGATTGGAGTTATAGTTTATAGAAGTTCTTGTTAGTTAAAACATTGATACATCCCCTCTACCTACTAAAAGCTTTCATGGAACCTTCCATAATTAAGAAATCTAGCTATAAGGGAGGAAGCTTTAAGCTTACTTCCAGTTTGATTTCTCTGTCTTGCAGTGAAGGGAATTGGAATCTTTGGCAATGGAGTCACACCAACTAGTTTTGGATGCTAACTGAGAAGAATGGCAATAGCCTTTACTGTTTTGGTAGCCTGTGGGGCTTCCCTGACCAACACAGATTGATTTTTTTTTCCTTGGGAGAGTCATGTCAAGAATGTAATTTTGAGCTAAGAAGGCAGGCACATTGTGCTACTAACAGCTAATAACATGTCACAAAACTAAAGACTTTCATTTTTATCAACCTACAAAGAAAATGCTGACAAAATGTTTGAAAAAATGAAGCAAATAAAAAAATGTCCTATTTTGTAAGTAATGCATTAAAACTATAATTAAAGGCACTACCCCAAGATAAATGGCATAGAGGAAACAATCAAAAAATTAATAAGATAAAAAAATTATACTATGGAGTGGTGGCTACTTGGAATATTATTATTAACAATAACTTAGCATTACTTGATAGGACATTTAAAGGGGAATTAGCAGAACAGAGATTACAAAGAATCACTAGTCAGTCAAGATGGTAATAAAATAATCTGTTCAAAATTGAACAATGCTGAAGGAAGGGGCTGCCGAAAGCCACACTGACTGTGCCGGTGAACCAGCACAAAGGGTATATGTTCACACAGATTCCAGGAAGACAGCTCTGCATCCTACACACAAAGCAGCAGTCCATATTCACTGACATCCACGTGGTAAACTGAACACAATCAAACTTGCTAGCATTTGCTTCTTTTCAACAAAGCATCACTGCACTAATGAAAGCTAAAAAGCATGTTACTAAAATGCTTGCAGGCTCAAAGAAATGCAATTTTAGGAAATCATGATTAAACAACGCATTAGTGGCTGCAGAGATGGCTCAGTAGTTATGAGGACACAGTACTCTTGCAGAGAACCTAAGTTCAGTTCCCAGGAAGCAGGTGGATTAGCTCACAACAGCCCGTAAAACAAAACACCAGAAAATTTGCTGCCCTTCTCTGGCCTTCATTTGCACTTTGCACCCCTGTGCACATACAAACATACACAGGTATACATAATTAAAAATACAATTAAATGAAATGAAAAAATTAATGATAGATGGTACCAAATAAAATGCTTTGATACCATCTTTCAAATACCTACTTTCAAATATTTGGGATAAAACAATGGAAGATAGCATAACAGGTAAAACATTAGTCATACAAACCTGATGATACCTAGTTTGACCCCTAGAATCCATGTTTAAAGGCCAGATAATTGCATCATAATTCCAGTACTATTGCAGTGAAAGAGGCAGACACTGAAAAATCTCCCTGAAACTCAGAGGTGCTAAGCCTGGAGTATGCAGTAAACAGAAGAAACAAGAGACCCTGCTTCAACAAGGTGGAAGACAAGAACTGCCTTTTAAGAGCTGTCCTCTGTATGTGTGTCCATGTGCATGTGTGCTCAGACACATGCTTCCTAGTGTGTGTCTCTCTCATGCATGCACAGAGAGAGAGAGAGAGAGAGAGAGAGAGAGAGAGAGAGAGAGAGAGAGAGAGAGAAACAGGCGGGACAGGCAGGCAGAGAGTATAAATATGAAGAGAAATCTAGGAGGAAAAAAGATCTGGGAATGAGAGAGGCAGGAGGAGGACCCCGATATACAACCAGACACAGAGTAAGAAGGGAAGGAAAGGTACAGGAATAGAGAAAGATCAAAGCTCTGAGGCCAGATAGATGGATCATTTAAGTTAAGAAAGGCTGGTAAGAAACAAGCCAAGTAAAGGCTGGGCATTCATACCTAAGAATAAGTCTCCATGTGTGATTTATTTGGGAGCTGGGTGGTGGGTCCTTCAAAAAGCCTAAAGAGCCCAAAAGCATAAAACACCAAACAAAAAATGATAATAATAATAATAGTAACATATCAATAAGTCCTCAGAATAGATTTCTAAAATGTATACATATAGGTTTTCTCTTCTATAAAACAGGATTACAATTTCTATAGTAAATGCCTTTCTTATACTATAGCCTAACCATCCAGAGTATCTTACAAAGCAACACTAAAACATATTCAAAGCCTTTATATCCCTTATTTATCACTAAACAATGTATGATAACTTTAATTTTAGACTTCTAGCTTATTATCTTATTTCTATTTCATGAAAATGCTTCTATGATTAAATATCTCTCAGTCCATTAGCATTAAGTAGGTAACCTTCAAGAGAAAAGATCAAGTCTATATTTTCAAAGAGAATCCATCAAAAAGCATGCAGGCCATCCCAGGGCTCTGCTGGCTGTTCCCAATTATATGCCTCCAAATCTGAACTACAGCCGAGCCCTCCTCTACCTATGGAGGATCTCGATCTCCACAGATGGAAACTCCACAACCCCCCCACATTATTGGTAAGGACTCACTCTTCCTCCTTTGGTCACACTACCTACCCAGGAACTCTTCTGCTCACACTGCCAACTGAGCCTTCCCCTTCCTCTCCCTAGGGCATTCCAATCCCATCATCTGCAGACCTACATCAACTACCTGCTAGCTCCGCAGGAACAATCAAAAACTCTCTGAACCCATCAGCTGTCCCTCAGCTCCATCTCTCTGGCATTCGTCACCATCTAAAGACTTGCACTGCAGCATGTGCTAGCCCCACATGAAGGGGCTTTACAGACTTACCTAGTGGTACCTTGAGCTTGTTGAATCAGGACACTTGCTCATTCTATTCACCTGCTAATGAAGTTGAAGCTATGCTCTTCCCTGGATGAATGGGAATCACATTAGTAATTCCATACAAGTGGGCACCAAGTGGCTACAAGACTAACCTTTAAGTATTTCCTAGCTGATCCAAAACCTTACAAGCCAGAATAACAGTCAATACAGAGCAAATGCCTATGCCTCATGGGTGAGCCAGAAACTCATATATACAACCAGATGCATAGGTCTCATTGCAAAAACATAAACTATGAAAAAGAAGTCAGTATGTCCTTTCAAAATGTTACAATCCCATAGTAATGGTTCCAAATCAGAACAACTTAGTTGAAATTCAAGACATAAAATTCAATAGAACCAATATAAACACGCTCGAGGAGGTTGCTTTCCATATTCTGGGAAAGCACTATGTGAACTGCTGGAGGCTAAGAGGGATCTGCACTTACCCATACAGGAACTCGACAAAACCTGATCCTACCCTGCCAGCAAGATATGCCCACTGGTGCTACAGTGGCACAGCTGTTTTAAGGGTAGTCAACCACTCTGATTGTGTTCAAGGCCTGCTCCACTTGAGGATATTCAAGCCTGGCACTATCCCGGGGAGGAATTTACTACTGTTGTTCAGCTAAATTGACTATAGTGTCAAACTGATTTATAAATATTTATGCTTATAGCCACAGAAAAATACTATTTTTAATAGTATCTCAGACTTAAGCTGAGAATGTCTTCCTTGCAATGAATGGTGAATAGAGAGTTTATAGTTACTTGCCACACAGAGAATAAGTGATGGCTGAGAGGTTAACCCTAAGAGGACATTTATTCTACCCTCTCTAAAGTTCAGGCCGTATCACAGAACACAGGGCTTAAAAAGTGTGAGAGCCAGAAACAGAGACAGTGGCTGTAAAACGCTATTTTCTGTGCATGACACCGTCACTGCTATCAACATCTCACAGAAACTGTGATGGTCTTCACTAGGTCGCTACAACACCAGGCCCATCAAAAGTCAATCAGGGGTCAGGAAAGGGCTTACGGGGCACTACCTGTTCTGGCTGAACTACTGACTACTAATGAATTCTAGGGGAAGGACAGCATTTCTCCAATTGTACACCTACAGGTGAGCAATGGATAACTTCAAACCCAGATGTCCCTACCTAAGCCAGTATGTCAAAACAAAACAAAACAAAACAAAACAAAACAAGTCTATGAATATGGGAAAGGAACCTGAAGGAAGGAAGGGGTGAGCTGACCGGGTGGAAGGAGATATGAGATGACTCGAGAGTAATCATAATACATTGTATATATGTATGAAACTGTCAAAAACAGATTTGATACAAGTCATAGTAATATCATTCACGTAGGAAAGTGAATAAGAATTATTAGGACACAGTGTCTATATAAGATTATACCCTAGTAAAGTTAAATATGGTGTTTAAGTTCAACTCTCTTTAAAAACAAATTTTTACGTCTTACAGAAATATGCAGCCTTGGCACCCAAAGGAAAGCAGAGGTCAGAAGCCTGGAGAAATGCTGAAGAAACTGGAATGTCTTCTCTTTATCCCCCAGCATTATGATGAACAGTGAAGACACAAACCAGTCATGGCCTGTGTAGCGCCCTTGCAGGCGCACTGCACAACAGTTAAGGAGCTTCCACGTTATCTCAGAACATACACAATTGCATAAATACTCACTGTTAGGATTTTTATTTGGAAAGAAATATTAATTGTACGTATATAGTAAATCACTTTACTCAGTTTTAAGATTCCACGAGTACAACTGAGTCTAAGGATCATAAGTCAATTTATAAAAACGTATGTTCAAAACACAGATTAAAATCCTGTAAGAATAAACTGTAACAAAAAAATCACATAGCAGCTATTACTTATTACAGATATGTTAACACATCCTTCGAAAAAACTATGGGAAGTATAGGAAGATAATTTGGTTCTGCATAAATCCACTCAAAAAGGATATGAAGAGAAGAAGTTACTGGTGACTGCTGTTGTTTCAGGAATCTATCACAGTGCTTTAAGACCAAGGCAAGATCATTTTCTGCACCATCTTTTAACAAGTTGAGAAACTTGCCATATCTATGTAAAAGACACCCCCAAAAGACACAGAATGAAAACTATCAGGATCTTCACCCCACATTCATCTTTAGACATCCATCAAAATGTATTTCTCTTGAGACCTCTAAGTCTGAAGTTTAAGATGTTACTTCTAGGGTGACGACATTAGACAAGGCACTCAATATTCACTCCTGACAGTTACAACACGACCAGCAGCATTAACTGTTACCATTCTAGGGTGGTGAAACAGAAATGAGAAAACAAAATGGCAGCAGACTACAGATGAGAACCATGTAAGAAGTTTTTCGGAAATTAATCCAAAACACAGATTCCTGAGTTTTAGGTTTATAGGATGTTAAGTTAAGAAGTTCCTGTGGAGGTCTTCTACCAATATCTGGATATCAGAGGGCTTTGGACATTCTGGGTTAAGATTAGGACAGTACTATAACATAACTTGAAATGTCTTGGTGTTTACATGGGTCTAACAGCAGTTTATAATTAGCTAAAACTAATTCAGTCTTATCTAAGTTCCTATATTTTAGATACACTAAATGGGTATGTTGTTTGTTTGATTTCCAGCTTCCTAAGACCTTGCTTGGTCTGTATTTTCAGAACTCTCCTTCTTAGTGGTAACAGTTTAGTGCATTTATTGTTTTTGTTGCTGCTGTTATCTCAATGACTCCACAGGATGGTAGCTGCACTATCCCACTGTGCATTATTTTCCATTTACTTTCTATGAATAAGAAACTACATTGAATTAAAATATGTGACCAAGCTGCTTATATAATCTATAGGTTTCAATTAATTGGAAATGGAGCAGTACAGTATACTCTTATTAAAACATGTATATGGAATCACATAATACAATCAAAACAGTTACCCTGGTAGAAGTAGATGATCCAGAATCCACGTCATGATTTTCATCACAATGGGCATTTATATAAGCCTCGAGTATTTAATAAATCTCATAAGTACCTTCCTAAATATGATTCAAATAATGGCCCTCTAATTACAATGCGATAGTTAAGAACCTCGTATTAAATGAGGTTTGTTTAGAACAAAAGAAAAGGAGGTTATTATCCAGTTCGTGATGTACTGTACTCACTTCTTTTGAAAATTAATTCATGAGTTTTAAAAACTCAAACTGACAGTTTTGGTTTACTCATTTGAACTTCTCAGTCTGTCCTTAAAGTATGTTTGTCTTCATCGGGACCTGACAACTAGAACAAACCGTATTTTAAAAGATATAAAACTGTGCCATAGCATTTTGATTTTTGCAATGCTGATTTTTTTTTTTGGTGGAAAACAACTGATAGTCATAGAGGAACACACTAATTAGCTTTTGGAATAGTAATGAGCTGTAACTGATTTACAGCCGGAGGTAATTTAATCATGTGCCAATATCCTCAAAGATAACGTTATTATTTTCTGAGTGGGAGACTCTGCATTTAAAGGCTACAAAATAGTTGGTTGTTAAATATTATTGAGCACACATCAGGTAGATGAATTCCAGGGGTGCACAGGAGAGACGCCTCCCCACATACCTGACAGCCGCTTCAATGCCAAGCTGCTGCACAGAAGAGAGACTTTCATTCCTCACATCTGCATCAGTAGCTGACAACAATAGAAAAGGGAGCTATGAAAATGTAGAAAAGTCTGCATAATAATCACCTCTTAATTGAAAATTGATGAAAGCAATATTTTTACATATTTTAATGTGAATTTTGAAAACACTGATGAATTTGTTCTTTTAGGAGCTGTCACTTACAGTTTCAAAGAAATTAACAGGAAACTTTTTACAGAAACTTTTATCCTGTAAAAATCATTTAAAACCTGGGAGTAGTAGAACACATACTTACCAGCACAGGGAAGCAAGAGGCAGGAGGATTAGGATTTCAAAGCCATCTGTGGATATACTGGAAGCTCAAGGCCAGCCTGGGCTACATAAGACCCTACTTCCAAGAGAAAATGAAACCAAAAAGTATATAAAATGAGTAGTTCTTTGGTGCAAAACACTAAAAATGAACAAAATATAAAAAGCTCTAAATTATTTAAAAAGTGATCAAAAATATGTTTTCATCATGCAGCACTTAGGTATATGTGAACATGGCTCTATATTCCTTCCTGTCATCCATGGTGAAATCTTTCAGTAAGCCCTATTGTATGTGCTGCCTTCCAGACATGGCATGGCTACTTACTCACCGTTTCACAGCAGCTAGGATTACTTGCACAGGACCTTCACTAGATCAAGCCAGTCTGATTCTAGCATGGATGGGTGATGAGAGATGAAGCTTCACCCCTAGTGAAGGAACTATTTACAGTAGATGGTTTCTGAGAGAGAGAGTGTGTGTGTTGCTCTCTTTTGGGAACATGGCTGCTGGTAGGTTCTTTATGCCTGAGTAGATAGCCCCACACCCATGAACATATGGCATGGCAGCACTAATTGGACTTGAGGGATTATTGGTTACAATAATAAAAAGAGGATATGATGTTCACAAGGAACCAGGATGGGGCAAATTGAGAAAACTGGAGGGAGGGATGTAGATAGATATGATAAAAATACATTTTATAAATGTATGATGTATACAAAGCATAAATTTTTTTAAATCTTTAAGGGCTAAGATATATAGTTCCATGGTAGACTACTGGCCACTGGGTCCAATAGTCAACACCACACTCACCATCTTCAAAGCAGACCATAGTCAACTTTTACCGAGTAATATTACATTGGGTTGAATTAATGGGGTTCACTTTCAGATCAGATTTCCTTTGTGAAGTAAGAATTGTGATCACCCCAGAGACACAGCCCCAACTACACCAATCAGAGGAAAAGATGAGTAGACAACATAAGAACACACTCAACACCACATAGAGAAACATGACACCAACAAAAAACTATGGCCCTACAATAGCAAGACTTGAACACCCCAATATAGATGAAGCAGAAGAAAATGACCTAAAAATTAACTTCAGGAGAATGTTTGAGGACCTTAAAGAGGAAATGAAAAATTCCCTCAAATAAATGAAGGAAAAGACAAACAAAAATTTGGAAGAAAACAACTCCCTTAAAGAAAACCAATAAAAAAGCAATCAAACAAATGAAAGAAATAATTCAAGACTTGAAAACCAAAATAGAGACAATAAAGAAAACACAAATCAAGGGAAGTCTGGAAATGGAAAATATGGAAAATTGATCAGGAATCACAAATGCAGCATGAACAGCAGAATACAAGAGATGTAAGAGAGACTCTCAAGTGCTGAAGATACAATAGAGGATATAGACTCATCTGTCAAAGAAACCATTAAATCTAGCAAAAGCTAAACACAAAATATGCAGGAAATATAGGACATTATGAAAGGACCAAACCTAAGAATAATAGGGATAGAAGAAGGAGAAGAAATCCAACTCAAAAGCACAGAAAAAAACATTCAACAAAATCATGGAATAAAACTTTCCCAACTTAAAAACAAGACATGCATAGGAAGATACCAGAAGCTTATAGAACACCAAATAGACTGGATCAATTAAAAAAAAGTCACCTCACCACATAATAATTAAAACATTAAACATACAGAATAAAGAAAAAACATTAAGGAAAATGGTTAAGTAACATATAAAGGCAGACCTATCAGAATTATACCCGACATCTCAAAGGAAACAATGAAAGTCAGAAGGTCCTGATCAAGCGTTATGTAGACATTAAGAGACCATGGATGCCAGTCGAGACTGCTATACCCAGCAAAACTTTCAATCACCATAGATGAACAAAACAAGATATTCCATGACAGAACCATTTAACCAATAACTAGCCATAAACCCAGTCCTACACACAAAGTACTAGAATAAAATCTCGGACCCAAGGAAGTTAGCTACATCCACAAAAACACAGAGAATGGATTATCCCACAGCAGCAAATCCCAAAGGGGAAAACACACACAATAATATCACCAACTTCAAAAACTAAATTAACAGGAACTAGCAATCACTGGCCATTGATATTCCTCAATATAAATGGACTCAACTTACCTATAAAAAGACACAGGCTGCACCAAAGCTACAGAGAAACCCTGTCTCGAAAAACCAAAAAACAAAAACAAAACAAAAAAAAACCCACAGGCTAACAGATTGGATATGAATCCACGCCTTTAATCCTAACACTCGGAAAGCAGAGGAAGGCAGATCTCTGTGAGTTTGAGGCCAACCAGGTCTACGAGAGACTTCCAGGACAGGCACCAAAGCTACAGAGAAACACTGTCTCGAAAAAAAAAGAAACAAAAACAAAAACAAAAGAAAACAATATCCATCCTTCTGCTGCATGTAAGAACCATACTTTAACCTCAAAGATAGACATCACCTCAGAATAAAGGGTTGAGAAAAAATTATCCAATCAATTGGACCTAAGACACAAGCTGGTGTAGCCATCCTAATATCTAACAAAATAGACCTCAATCTAAAAAGACAAAGGACTTCTCCTACCCAAGATGGACAGTGGTTAGAATCTTCCCAGTAAGCCACCACTTCGTGGTGGTACACAGATTATTAGAAATGGTTTAAACAAGATGTGAGAGTTAGCCAATACAAGGCTAAAACTAATGGGCCAGGCAGTGTTTAAATGAATACAGTTTCCGTGTTATTATTTCCAGGGCTAAGCTAGCCGTGCAGGAGCCAGAAGGGACGAAAAGCAGGCCTGCTCGCCTCACTACTATACATTGCATCTTTGCTATGAATTTTCAGGTTAGAACTTGGTAAGGACTCTACTCCCAGCATTCTGTTCTCTCTACTCTGCCTATCTAAGCTGCTGTCCTATCAAAGGCCAAGACAGTCTCTTTATTTGACCAATGAAAGTAACACATAGACAGAAGACCCACCTACATTACAATGATACTCAACAGAGAGTGTCACTGTGAGAAATGAGTATGGAAAAAATGCAACGGAGACTACATTTCTTGCAACAATGAAAGACACTAAGATTAGAGTGCAGATATCTTTTTGAATAACTCAGATATCTGGATGATAATGCTATCATTCAAAGTTAAAAATATAAAAATAGCAATAAAACCATATATTACCTCATTAAAAAAAAAGACAAAGGACATTTCATATTAGTCACAGGAAAAATACATCAAGAGGAAATCTCAATACTGAACATCTATTCCCCAAATACACACCCTCATATGAAAAAAAAAAAAAAACTTCTAAAGCTTAAATCATACACCAAACCCTACACCCTCATAGTGGGAGACTTAAACGCCCCACTCTCGCTACTGGCCAGGTCTGCCAGATAGAAACTTAACAGAAATAAGGGAACTAACAGATGTTATGACTCAAATGGACTTAACAGACATCTATAGAACATTCCATCCAAACAGAAAAGAATACACCTTCTTCTCAGCACCTTATGGAACTTCTCAAAAACTGACCACATACAAGGTAACAAAGCATACCTCAATAGATAAAAACAAATGGAATAACCCCATGTATCTTATTGAATCACCATGGCTTATAATTAGAATTCAAAAGCAACACTAATTTCAGAATGCCCACAAACATGGAAATTAAACAATGCTCACCTAAATCACCAATGGGTTGAGGAAGAAATAAAGGAAAAAAATTAAAGACGACCTAAAATTCCATGAAAATGACCATGCAACATACCCAAATTTATGGGACACACTGAAAGCAGTGTTAAGAGGAAAGTTCATAGCACTAAATGCCTACATAAAGAAGCTGGAAAAAATCTCACAGTAGTGAGTTAACAGAACACCTGTAAACTCTAAAACAAAAAGAAGCAAACACACCCAGGAGGACTAGATGGCAGGAAATAATCAAATTGAAAGCTGAATTCAACAAAATAGAAACAAAGAAAACAATACAAAGAATCAATGAGACAAAGAGTTGGTTTTTTGAGAAAATCAACAAAATAGACAAACTTTATCTAAACTAACAAAAGGCAGAGAGAGAATATCCAAATTAACAAAATCAGAAATGAAAAGGGGAACATAATAGACATGAAGGAAATCAAGAGAATCATCAGGTCATACTTCTAAAACTTGTACTCAAAATTATAGACAAAATTGGAAAACTTAAAGGAAATGAACAATTTTCTGGATAAATATCACTTACCAAAATTAAAGCAAGACCAGATAAGCAAATCAAATAGACCTATAACTGCTAAATAACTAAAAACAATCATCAAAAGTCTCCCAACCAAAAAGGCCCAAGACCAGATGGTTTCAGCACAGAATTCTATAAGATTTTTCAGAGGCAAACTCACTCCAATACTCCTCAAATTGTTCCACACAATAGAAACAGAAGGAACATTGCCAAACTCTTTTCACGAGGCTATAATTACCCTGACACACAAACCACACAAAGACATTACTAAGAAAGAGAATTGCATACCAAACTCACTCATGAACATTGATGCAAAAATATTAAAATACAAGCAAACCGAATTCAAGAAAACATCAGAAAAATCATTCACCATGACCAAGTAAGCTTCATCCCAGATATGCAAATCAATGTAATCCAACAAATAAACAAACTGAAAAAAACCCATTATCATCTCATTAGATGCTGAAAAAGCATTATACAAAATCCAACGCCCCTTCAT